AATAAAGGTGGGATATAAAATTAAGTTGGATTGACAAAATCAGAAATGAGGAGGTGATAAGCCACCTGGGAGAGCCAAGGGAAATCATCAAAATCGTAAAAAAGCTTAGAATATTTTGCACATGTGATGCGACACTCAGAAAGATACAGCATACTTCACTTAATCCTCCAAGGAAAGAGTGAAGGCAAACGAGGTCCAGGCAGAAGAACATCATGGCTTCAAAATCTAAGGGATTGGTTTGGACACAACTCACAGCACTTTTTTGTGCGGCTGTTGATAAAACTAAGATCGCTGACATGATCGCCAACGTCCAATGATGGATATGGAAGAAGAAGAGGAGGAGGAGGAGGAGGAGGAGGAGGAGGAGGAGGAGGAGGAGGAGGAGGAGGAGGAGGAGGAGGAGGAGGTGGTGGTGGTGGTGGTGGTGGTGGTGAATCTTCTGTGGAAGAATTGTCTATCAAAACTAACCAAGCTGAGAGGGTTTCTTCAGTTCTTACTAATGCCTTCATCCTGTGTAGTGTGTGATAAATCAGTCTTTAAATATTTTTCTGTGGAAAATGTATTTTCCAAATTCTTACTTCATCCAAGTCTGGTTTTCTGCTTCAGCTGTATTACTGTAAGTGATTTGGATTCTTGGTATGTTCTTGTATTTTCCTTTAGAAGTGGCATCTGAGGAAAGGATGCTGCTCTGATCACGTGGAGCTTCAAAGGGCTGATGTTGTAATCCACGGTAGTTCATTGCTGTCTTACTAGCAATTATTAGTTCAACCATACCTGATACAAATTCAAGCATTTGAAATAAGATTCATTTTCCATGATCTTTTTTTGAGAAACAAAAAAGAATAAAACAGCTTTGGAAGGGACCTTGGAGGTCTTCTAGTCCAACCCCTGTTCAGGGAGGAAGCCTTATACCATTTCAGACAAATGGTTGTCCAATTTCTTCTTAAAAATCACCAGTGCTGGAGTATTCACAACTTCTGGAGGCAAATTGTTCCACTGATTAATTATTCTAATTGTCAGAAAAATTCTTCCGAGTTCTAAGTTGCTTCTCTCCTTGGTTAGTTTCCACCCATTGCTTCTTGTTCTACCCTCAGGTGCTTTGGAGACTAGTTTGAGTCCCTCTTCTTTGTAACAGCCTCACAAATATTGGAACACTGCCAACATGTCACCCCTAGGCCCTCTTTTCATTAAACTAGACATACTTTTCAGCAACATGAGGCTCTTTAATCACTTTTGAAATATGAAAACGGATCAGACATTTTAAAAGTTATTTTAATCCCACCTTTATTATGTTTTATAAATAACTCAGGGCAGAAAACATGTGCCTTTGTCCTCTTATTTTCGCCACAATAACAGCTATGTGAGGTGAATTGGGATGAGACTGAGGTCACCCAGCTAGCTTTTATTCCCAAGGCAGTGCTAGAACTCTCCGTCTCCTGGTTTCTAGCCTGGTTTCTTAACCGCTAGACCGGGAGTCTCCAAATTTGTCAACTTTAAGACTTGTGACCTTCAACTTCTGGAATTCCCCAGCCAGCATGGTTTGGAGACCCCTGAATTAGAGCAAGCTGACTATGTTGGCATTGCAAAGCTCATAGAGTCACATCCAAAAAAGTATAAACGTTTAGCAAAGTATATTTCTTACCTTTTAGAATCAAGACAAAAATTACACTTCCATAAGGATAATTCTTTTCTCAGGCATTTAAATAATTAAATTCTATAGAATTTATACAGTCTAGAAGTCTATAGCCTATATAGAATTCTTGCCACAGACCTGCAATGTCGGGTTAAAACAAGCAGACAGTAGGGAGTTTCTGATTACTAAATTTGAGTGAAAGCCAAACTTCTTTATGCAAATTTTCATGCTTCCTGTTGTCTAAGTTAGCACTATAAATAAATAATTACAACTACAGCACAAACCTAGATAATTCTATTTGAGGTAAATGTTTCCAATGCATATGATGAATGCGAAAATTCACAAATATAATAAAAATCTAATATAAACAAAACCATCCTTAAGGCGTCATTAATTTAGCTTTTCATTTTAGTAGGTCAGCTGCATTGCTGTATCACTCATAGTTTCATGCTAAGTTTCTACCAGCGGTTCCCTGGTATATTGTGGAATTAAAACATCAGTGGGACATGCAAACTGCTATTCAGTTTGAGGTTGGTTTATCTGTGGATGGGCTTATTTTATACAAAAATATGTACAACATATACATATTGTATATATGCTGATAAGACTATCTGCAGATAAGCCATCCAATTTTTGGGAATATAGTTTGGCAACTAAAATTCTTGGCTTATCTGCGATATATACAGTATTCAGAAATCTATTGAGTATCAAAAATAAATGTACTCTGGGAATATGAGTGTGCTGGTTTTGTGATGCCCAGCACTTGTGAAAGATTCCTAACAGCTTGTAGCACATCATAGTAAATGACCCAATTATGAATATTGTCCAATGCATGAGAGATGGTAACGCTTTCAGAAGGCAAGAGAGAGAGGCATGTGGCATTGTGATCATGACAAAGAAAAAACATGGATGAAAACAGTTGCAAGGGAACAAGAATAAATGGAGGAGGAGGAGGAAGAGAGACAATTCCTAGTATGTATTATTATTGTTTAGTGTATGACATATCAAACATGGAATATATACATACATCCGTACGTATGTACGTACGTACGTACATACATACATACATACATACATACATACATACAGTCCATTTACAGTTCACCTAAATAGAACCCAATGAAATATACTGTAAATGTTAAAAAGATCCAATGTTCAAATATCAATGTCTAGACTATCTAACCATTGAAGCACAACATCATTTATATATTTTTTTTAAAAAACACCCAGATATTGGAAGCTGAGGGTATATACCTTCAGCTTACAGCCAGTCACCATATGATCTAGAGTTTGATGTGGGACCCCACCATCACACTGAGAGGAGGATACTGTGCCCCATTTATACAGAAAGTCCTGGCAGATGCCATGTGAGATGCAAATCCCATTCAGGATTGTCCATTGCTGATGAAGTTCAAAGCCTGGCACCTTTTTTGTGGGGTCATTTATATATATCTTCCTATAATTGGGCATTCGGGATCCCATTTGGCTTTCCATTGGGAATGGATGTTAAAATTGTTGGGCAAATGATGTCTCAGTGGAGGCTTCCTGAATAAGGTTGTGTAATACTGGTAAAGGAAAGAGAAATAAGAGCTACGGTACTCACATATGTGACTGAAGTGAAATGGGATAGCAGGTGAGCTCCTTACATGATCTCGCTTAGAATAGACCATTTCAAGATACAGGAAGTAGAGAAGAGCAGTTCATGTGATTTGTGTCATAGTAGAACTGATTGCAACATTATCCACAGAAGAATGCTAACTTTGTCATTCTCTGCATAAGGTGACCTACTTATTCCTTTTCTGATTTGTGTAATCGTATCCTTGGTTGTCAGGTGCTTTCAACCATGTGGTCTCTGCTCAGTACTTTGCATAGTTATTTGAAAGTAGTGTTACTTCTCGTCATTAAAAGTCACATACACCAAATGAATCTCTCAGAAGTCTAACGATTTATTTACCCAAAGACGTGTGTATATACACATACATTTTATATAGGCTAATTGCAGCAACAGACAAGTGTTTTTTGTTTTAATTCTCTTTCAAAGTTATTTGTTGTGATCAGCTTATCCAATGCAGTGCACCCCTTTGCTTTTATGTCTTGAATCCTTTGGGCTACAGCAGTTCTACATGTTACATAAGAGAAGAGATGGTCAGCCTATTTTCCAAAGCACCCAGAAGGCAAGGCAAGAAACAATGGATGGAAACTACTCGAGGAGAGAAGCAACCTGGAATTAAAGAGAAATTTCCCAACTGTTAGAACAATTAACCAGTGGAATGGCTTCTCTTCAGAAGTTGTGGGTGCTGCATCTCTGGAGGCTTTTAAGAAGAGACTGGGCAGCCACTTATTTGGAATGGTATAAGGCAGGAGTGTCAAACTCACATGTCATGGTGGCGTCATATGATGTATCAAGACTTTTTCCCCCTTTGCTAAACTAGGTGTGGGCTTGGCCAGTGCTTGACGCATCTGGCTCAAGGGCCGGGAGTTTGACATCCCTGGTATAAGGTTTCATGCTTATGCAGGACTAGAAGACCTCCAAGGTTCCTTCCTATTATTGTGTTACTCTTGTTATTCTGTTATTCTGTTAGGGTGTGGTATTATGGTATTATTAGGGCTTAACAAGTAGCTGCAATAGTTGCAGGTAATTGTATGATGCATGTGATTGACTCATTCACAGATTCTGTTTTACTAAATACTTCAATGAACATTTGAGAGATATGTAAGGCTTCCCACAAATAGGTTGTATGTTAAAGAAGCCACCTTGTAACTCTTATTTTGAAGTAAGCCTTACTGAACTCGGTAACACCTATGGTATATATGAGTTATATATACAAGATTGCATTGTCATACAAAATATGAAGAGTGACATGTTAATAACTGCTTATGAGCAAAGTTTGTAATCATCTTCAAATGTCTATAAAAATAGACTTCAATGGAAATAGGAAAAAACTATTCAGCAATGGAATAGGAAGTTTTGGAAGATGGTGGTGTCATATATTCTATGTGTGTCTATGTTTATCCATATCCCAATTTTCAGCAGTTATAAATATATATTCCTTTGTACACTTTTTTTTTAATAAATGGCAAACCCCACTGAGGAGAAACTATTCCATAGTCACTATTTTTTACTTGTTCTGCTCTTACTTCCGAATTAGCAGTTGTGGATAGTTGGTTCATAATTCTGCGTTGGCTGTGAGGTTACAATTGTTTATCTTTAACAGTATTTATTTAGTAATACTGCAGTAGTTCAGTCAATGATTGTGGAGCTCATAAAGAGTGTGTTTAGTTTTTTGAAAATTAATGTCTTTGATATTAAAAATGCTTCATTTTCATTTTTAAACTCTCAGTTTCCTGGGCTTTTATTTTGCTACAGCACTCCTTTTTTTGTCGCTTATTGGAAGATAAGAAATCAGAAAAATTCTTCAAAGTTTTTTATGATCGTATGAAAGTTGCTCAGCAAGAAATCAAGGCCACAGTCACAGTTAACACCAGTGATTTGGGAAACAAAAAGAAAGATGATGACTCCGACAGAGATGTGCCAGCAAGGAAGAGAGGTAAGGCTTCAGAGCTGCAGTAGAGTATGCCCAACTGAAAGTAAATAATTCATCATGTGATTAAGTATTTTATTGATCCCTTGGTTCGCAGCAAGGAAAAGAGTGACATCATCTTCCTTCCTCAACCTTTTGGGATAGGGCAATTACTGAAATGGTGACAAGTATTCTCAATATTAGTATGCCAGCCAGCTTGACATGTTGCTTCATTTTTTTCACTTAACATTCTTTGCTCTGCAGGCAGTAGGATCTAGAATTCTGTAATTAAAAACAGACTTTCTCAATACAATCTGAAGATGAAATAGTTTTTTTTTCCCAACCACTTCTAGGTTGAAAAGATTAGACGGTTACATCACCATTCTCCGGGAGGGGGGGGCGCAGTGGGGGGGGCATCCAGTTGAGGACTGTTTTCATGTCCCCGTTATGAGCTGGAGCAAAAGAAAAGAGCTCAAATGCAAATTTTGCTAATCTCTAACCCAGCATCCTAACTACAAGAGCCGCCATGCTCCTATGAATTAAGGTGCACTTTCAGAATTAAATCTTAAACTTCTCTATCACTTGATGCACTGTTCTGACATGCAAGTATGATGGATCAGTAAATATGGCCAATAACGATGAAATAAAATAGATTGTTCCTAACTTTAATAGTTGTTGTGCTAGTTGTTGTGTTATTCGTAACATTGGTGTACTAGGTAGTTTCTATTAGTCAACAATATGAACTGATGTATTAGACGGCCATATACAGTTTGTAAATGCACATATGGTAAGGACATAATTTTGAAGAGCAGAAGAGATATATTTTTATCCTACATATTCTAAGTAAAAATTTACAGATATGTTAACTGTGGATCCAGTGGATAAAATAAGCACCATATTTACCCAAAAGAAGTAAGGTTCATCCCTTCATGGTAATTATCTATGAGTTGAGGTGAAGGAGTAATCCTACATTTGCTGACAAGCATGAACTACACTTCTAGAAATGAAAGACCAGGATGCTTAAATCAGTGCAGATATCCCTGCTGAAAACCCTAGATGCTTTTCAAGAGTGGTGAAGAATGCTATTATTCAGAGATTCATTAATTTTAAATAGGGTGCCTTATTTTAAAGGTGGTTGATTTCAATCAAATGTTCTAAAGTCAATTAATTTAAGTAATCCTCAACTTACAACATTTTTTAAGGTAACCATTTGGAGTTACAACACATCTGAAAAAAATTACTTATGACTGTTTTTCACATTTATGAACACTGCAGCACCCCCAAAGTCACATGATTAAAATCCAGATGTTTGGCAACTGACTCATTTATTACCATTGTAGTGTCTTGGGGATGTGTGTGTCACACAATCACCTTCTGTGACCTTTTGACAATGAAAGCCAATAGGGAAGCCAGGTTCATTTAACAACTGCAGCAAGAAAGATCGTAAAATGGGGCAAATCTCACTTCACAAATGTCTCATTTTGCAACTTACATTTGTGCTCAATTTTAATCATAAGTCGGGGGCTACCTTTATTATTTTCTTGTTTCAGGATCTTCCCTGTTTTGTAATGAGGCTTCCGGCAGATGTACAGGTGGGGGAAGTGGGATATGGACACACACACAGACACACACACAGACACACACACACACACACCCCTTTACATATTTATTGCCCAGCAGGACATGCCCAGGTTTTCCTGAGTATTTCATAGGATTTTTGTCAATATGTTTCTGGATATGCTATTTTGCAGAATTCTTCCTCA